TGGCCGTGGAGGCCCGCGGGCCTGCCGAGAGGCAGGAGCGTCCTGCTGCCTCCCAAAGGCATCCTCCTCTCAGCAGGCGCCGTGGGAGAAGAGCACGAAGGCGCTCAGGCCCTCCGCTCTCCCCTCCTGCTGTGCCACCCCAGCCACAGGTGGCAGAGTCGGGGCCTAGGGCTCCAGTGGGCGGCCTCCAGCCTGACACCTGGGCCACGCTGTTTGATGACCATCCGGAACTCCTGCAGCGCATCATGCCCTGGGTCCACCAGCAGGCCTGCAGGGCCGCGGGGCTGCCGAGAGGCAGGAGCGTCCTGCTGCCTCCCGAAGGGGCCCTCCTGACTCTGCTCCAGCCCCCTCCAGCGGCCCTGATGGAGCCTCTGAAGAGGAGCGTCCCACCACCTCAACTGCTGCTCTGCAAGGGGCTCCCAGAAGCACCACCAGCGTCCCCATTCCCACCCATGGGGAGCAGGAAGAGCAGGTGCAGGATCCAGAAGTGCCTGGTCCCTCGACTTCCAGCCAGGGCAGGGACAGCTCCCCTGGGAGGCCACGGCGAGCCCCGAAGAGGAGAGCCAGCAGTCCCCAGGACTCCTCCCAGCCCCCCAAGAGGCCACCCCGCCAGCAGCAGTAGAACCAGTCGTGCTGGCTGGGCTGGGGTTTCTCTGGCTGACATCTCTCCCTCTGCTGCTGCTGCTGTTCCACCAAGCTGTTTTTGTGCCAGAGAATATCATCATCCATCAAGACAGGTGGCCTTGACCTGCCCCAGGAGTAGAACTGGTGCAGCTCCTCCAAGGCTGCTCTGGACTCTCCAGGACCCTGCACTCAAACACCCCATCTGCTGCTGAGTCCAGTTTGGGACTTTTCTGTGCAGAGGCACGGGTAGGTACTGCCCACTGCACCAACCAGCTGTGGCTGGGCACCCTGCAAGGTAAGGTGGGGTGAGGCTGCAGCTGCAGCTGGACCGGGGAGCAGCTGGCAGGGGGGAGAGGTGCCCCTGTGGCTGTGGCAGCTCTCGGGCAGAGGTGCCTGGAGAGAGAGAAGAGGCAGCTGGGGGCTCAGCCAGCTCTGTCTGCCTGTCCCTGCCTGGTGCACGGGAGAGCAGAAGGAGCCAAGGGAGCCCATGGCATGTGCCTGCCATGGCTCAGCGGCTTGGAGAAGGAGCTCAGCCGCTGCCAGGCCGTGTCTCTGGGCTCTGGGCTCTGTCCCCCCAAGCACTGCTCCTGCAGCCCAGCAGCAGAGGCATCGCTGCTCACCTTCTTCCCCTCCTTCTCCCTTGCCCAGGGGAGGACCTTCAGCGACAGGAGCCTCGAGAGGCTGTTGGAGGGCCAGGCAGAGCTGACCATGGCTGCCTTTCACCTTCCTGGGGCTGGCACAGGTGCCAGGGAGGAGCGATGAGAGGGATCAGTTCATGCAGGATGGGAGGGAAGTTCCTGCGGTACCATTCCTGGAGCAGAGAGGGCTGGGGAGCCACCAGGAACACCAGCATATCCAGGCTGGTGGTGCTGAGAAGAAACCCGCTCTGTGGGGCATGGAGTCTGGGAGGGCAGAGGGTCCCAGCTGTGCCATGCTCAGGCTGCTGGAGCTGCTGGCCCTTTCTGCTGCGGCGCTGCTCTCTAAGAGCAGCCTGGTTCTTGCAGGCTGATCCCAAGGAAGGGCCTGAGATGTCCCCATCCAGCAGCAGAGGGGGACTTCTCTGTGTACCAGGTGAGTTTTGGAAAGAAAGGCAACCTCCTGCAAGCAGCTGAGCTGCACTCACTTGTCTCCCGAGTGTTGCCATGCAGGTGGAGCAGCCCAAAGGACAACGAGGAGCAAGGAGACCCGCTGAGCAGCAGCCACTGGACCTGGTTCTGCAGGGACACAGCTTGGAGGAGGGCAGGATGATGAGGCCGGGGACAGGCTGTCCTGCTGTCAAATTGGCTCTCAGGAGCCTCCGAGCCAGAGCCACAGCTCCAGCCAACTGCT